AACATAAATAAATAAGTTCCCGTAATGATCATAATAGTCAAGATTTACCATGGCTTCAATGTCAGAAAAGCTAGGAACATTATCATCGCTTTCATATTCTATCTGATCAGATGTTGCATTGTTTGCTTCAGGTTTCAAAACAGTATCTACAATGGAACTAGCTTCTGCATACGCAAATTTATCTTTGGTATTGCATTCATCTGATGGCTCTTCTTCTTCTGCACCATCTGCAGCAGAATTGGGAAATGTGCGGGCTGCTTTGAACCTATATGGGTCGACCAGGGAATTTTGAGACTGTCTGGAAATCACATGACATTGACCATCAAGAAACTCAGATTTGACACCTTGACTAGGTTCTGACAAAATGTCCAATCCTACCATCTTGGGAGCAGTAAACAATTGAGTAAGATTATCTTCTGTCTGTATCAAGCTCACTTCTTCTTTACTATCCTTTTGATTTCCAAGGGATAAGGTCTGGTCACTACCCACTTGAAGACACTCTTCCGTATCTAAACCTTTACCTAGGAGAACATCATCATTGCATGGGATCTCAGGATCCTCACTGTTCAACATGCAGCAAATCACTTCATCATGAAGTTCAAGAGAATGAGGATTTGACGAAGACGCAGAAGAAGGCAAATTGATTTCCGGATTCCCAAAATGTGACTGTTCAGCATGGCCAGAATGTGAATGTTGGTCTGGAACTTCATCCAACTTTGCAGGGCAAGTTGCTTCCGAAGTACCAGGACACACATCCGAAACTAATGTCTCAGGTCCTTTAGTCTTTGATGTATCCTCTTCATGATCATTAGGAGAATTCAGCAAAAGTGAATTCACACTCTCGTAACAAGATTTATCAATGGCATCACCGTCAAAATTTAATAAACCATCAGTTTCAGCTAAATCACCACAAGAGATAGCAACTGAATTACTAATTTCATAACCATCTTTTAACATCATATCTGAAGGGACAATATCATATCCAGATTGACACATTTTCTTACCATCCACATCTTCCGGATGCACAATTTCACCTTCTACATGTTGGCCTTTATCTCCAGGGCCATCATTAACTGGCATCACAGCAGCTGGAACGTCTTCCATCGTTTTCCACAGTGGCATATCTGGCTGTGGTGATGAACATCCGACCGAGTAAGGTTTGATTCCTTCAACCCCAGATGTACGATCAAATTTATCTGAAGCCTTGAAAATGACACAAGGAGACCTCCTAGACACATCATTCTGTTCAATATTCTCTACTTTTTCACTAAAGCAATCCTTCTTCGAAATTACTTGCAAATCATCCTCTTGTGATCGTTTATCTACACTACCAATCCCTAAATCACCAAATCCGATTTGGTTTTGAACACAACCTTCACGGGGTCCAACAAGCTCATCATAACCTCTATTTTGGATGCAATCATTACCATTAGGTGATCCAAGAAAACTAACACCACTCGAGTTTGTCACATGGTGGTTACAGGTCCTCTTCCTCATAGCATAATATAATCTTCTAACGCTTTCAAATTTCCTTTTAGCACTTCCATTTTCAACAGGAGAATCAAATTTATTCAATTTAGAAGACAAATTAGAAGAAGATAATTCAACCTCAATCATACGAGCTGCTGCTTGATCGGAAATAAGAGGATCATAAAGTAAAGAGTGCCATCGATCTTGCAATTCTCTAACGGTAAACTTTCGTGAAAATCGAACCGCGCCTTTTGCTAGTGCTTCAAAAGAAGCACCGGACTGAAATTACCAAAATTTCAATTATTACCTTTTAGAAAAATGAAGAAAATCCACTGAATTTAGGGTTTTATACTGTCTCGTTTTAGACTTTTAGGTCAGATAAGTGGAAAAGATTCCTTTAAGACTGTAAGATAGGAAACTTCTGACAATATTAAATTATGAGAAAAAAGAAGAAGAAAGAAGTTACCTCAATGGCGTTCTTCAATAAGAGATCGTCTTCAGGGATACAAGAAGAAGAAGAAGAAACTGAAGCAGGCAGAGCTGACATGGAATTTGAATTTTTTTTCTTTTTTTATATAACGAAATGTAGTGGTAGGATTAACAAATATGAAAGTGATTTGAGAAAATTAGGGGGAAATAGTACAAATTTAACAGCTGAGGTTTTTTTGTTTGGATTGTGGAATTTAGGGATCCGCCATGGAAATGAGTTTTGAATTCCTTTTTTTTTTTCCTTCGTGTATTTGGAGAGGGAGCTTTCTAAGCTCCTTTCAGTCTTCGTCCGTCTCGGAAATGGACGGATCGAAACGAAAGCTTAGGAAAACGCGAGCTCCCAGGGGGTATGCTCTCACGCGCTTGTAAAATTACGACTACATCCTTGTTAGAGTTATTTCTTTTTCTTTTAAACCCATCACAAATTGTCAAATTGTCTGGCTTGTGTATAGCATCATTTCAAAACCCATTCAGATTTCAAGCTGGATCTTGAACTAGGCTGGTTTACAACATTTGGATAAGGACATTCATTATCTTAGTGGCCTTTTAGGAATTTACATTTAAAGCATTGATGCTGCATAAATTCCTATTCTTCTTGTTAATAAATTATGTGATGCCATATTGCTAATAAATGTAAGGATAAATCAAGTATAATTATCATTTTAATTTCGTTTTAGTTATTTAATAATTATTTTTTTTAAAAATCATATCTAATATAATATTTTGGCTCTGTTTTGATCATTCATCATTAGAAAACAAAAAGAACTACTGACATAACATTTTTATTTTTTCAATAGTGACGTAGTATTATCTTATGATGACATTTTATCATCACCGTTAATCTTTTAACGACGAGTGATCAAAACTTAATTTTAGGTATGATTTAAAAAATAATAATAATTAAGTGACCGAAACAGAATCAAAGTGATAGTTGGGTGACTAAAAATACATAGTTTACCTAAATCTAATTACTTAATTTGATTTAATTATTGGTTTAAAATCATTGAGTTTTTAACTTTAAAAAAAATAGGGTAAATTACAAATTTGGTAATTGAACTTTACTCTCTCTCATATTTCACTCACTGTATCTTAAGTTTATTCAGTCAACTTAATACATTGAATTTTTTGTCACTTAACCATTTTATCACTAACGGTGTTATAAATGAGTTATTATATAGTTGTAAAATGATGTCGTTTTGGTGAAAATTTTATTTTTTAAAACGGTGTCATTTTAACACCGTTAACTATTTAATAGTAGAGTGTCTAAAACAATCGAATGTATGAAGTTCAGTGAGTAAATTGAAAACTTTTAAGTTTAGTGAGAAAAATAGGAGAGTGTAAAGTTTAGTGATGAAATTTGTAAGTTACCCAAAAAAATTCAAGGTGAATTTTTAGTTCGGGTGATTTCTCTTATGGTTGAGTCAGGACCGGTTAGTGGAAGTGTCGTGTTTGGAAGTAAATCACATATTAACACATCTTAAAAACCCTTAAATACTTTTTTGAGTAAATAAAAAACCCTTAAATATATATGAATATTTCATATTTTTAATAATGATTTAAATTTGTAAACATAATAGTATCATGATTTAAATACTAAATTAAAGTGTTTTTCCCATGCTTTCTCTTGCCAAAATAATACTATGATGTAGCATATTATATTAATATTTTTCACTTAAATATTATAATAAAAAATAAAATTAAAAAAAAATCATCAAGTGGCATCAATAATAAAATAGAATGTTAATATTCCTATAGATCTTTAGTTCGAACAACACCATCTACAAGATATATGTGCATTGTCAATAGATTAAAAACTCTAAATCGTACTTCTAAATTACATATATAAACCTTAAACCTCAAAATAAAACCCCAAATTCCTACACCTAAATCCTAAACTTTCAATTATGATCTCCCACCCCACTTTCACCTTGACGACAACACCTCCATATTGTACCTCCTCTACATTACATCGAGCCCTCAACATGTTCCTCAAGACATGTTATCGTCACCTCGTGAGGTTTTTCTCAAAGTTAGCTCGCATAACAATTTCTTCTACCACCAAACATTTCCTTCATAGGTTCAGAATCTTCAAAACAAGACCATGGAATCGAGAGAAATTCGTTTTTTTCTCGTACTCTTGTATTCGACACTACTTGCCTCCATCATCGATCTTGGAGACAAAAAGAACCATCATTCTTGATATAGACGAGATCCTGGTGCTTTATAACTCTAACACGTCTCCCAAAACGTATGATTTCGTAATAATACCTAATACGAAGATTAAATCATAATTTTTAACGTTTTAAGAGAAAAATAAATGATTTGGGGCGAGATCATCGACGGTGAAAGTAAAGTGAGTGTTGTGATTTGAAGATGGTTAATGTTACGATTTGGAGGTGAGACTGTCGATGAGCTATTGCTTGCAAGTGCGAGGGTAAGGTTGTCATTGAAATACAAGGGAGGTGTTATCGTTGATGGTGAGGGTGGGGGTGACGATTGCAATTTGAGGGTTATAGTTTAAGTCTAGGGTTTTATGGTTTTAGTCCAGGTTTTAGGGGTATGATTTAGAGTTTTTAATTTTATTTTTTATTATAATCTTATGTGACAAAAAATATTAAATATAATATGCCATGTCATAGAAAATATTTAAAAAAATAAATGAGAGTGACTAAAACATGAACTATTTAAAAGTTGAATAATTACATTAATTTTTTTTACTTCATTAATTAAAATAGGAGTGAAAATATAATTAAATGATAAATTGTGTAAATTACTCTTAAGAGATTTTAAAAACTAAATATTAAATTACGTATCAATTTTTTATTGGTTTATTGATTTTTAACAAAAATGTTAAATATTATGAGATAATTAATCTTAAAATGATAACTTTAGAAAAAATGTTAAATACTTAAAATAAAAATATATATAATTTAAACATTTGCTTCTTTTAATTACATTTTAAAAATAATATATTTATTATCAAACTCAATTCATAGTTAAGTGATTTTTGGCCTTTAAAATCCCCAATGTTTGACCTTTGCTCGATTCCAACTTACAGATTTGGACTGCAGAAATTTTAGAGAAGCGAATCCCTTTTTTTACCCATCGCTGGGCAGCCGATTCTTCGACTCTCCGGTGGATCTCTGTTTCTCTCTCCCCACCAGGGAACCCTTTGATCGTTCTCTGTCCATACATCTATTTCCATTGCTCCAACTTTCAATTCTCGAATCAATTGTCTTTACTAATTCCTCGCTACCTCTCTTCGTTACTGGTATTTTCTCACTTTTGCTTTTGCTCCTTCGTTTGAATAGATAGCTGATGAAAAATTTTATCGCAAAATTTTAAATCCTTGTAGGAATTAATTGATGTGGGTTTTCTGAAAAACTGCAGTTTGGAAGATGGACAACGAAATACAGGTTGATTCGGATCACCAGTCGATGATGATCGAAGGTGGGATGCGAATTGATCCAAGGAGGGAACGGTTTCCATGCTGCATTGTTTGGACATCTCTACCTGTTATTTCATGGTTGATTCCTTTCGTTGGCCACATTGGCATTTGCAGGGAAGATGGAGTTATTCTAGATTTTGCAGGTCCTAATTGCGTCTCTGTTGATGATTTCGCCTTTGGGGCAGTAGCTCGCTATGTCCAGATTAACAAAGATAAGGTATTTATATATGTTCGTCATCCCTTTTTTGTCTCCGTGAATTTCTGCTTCTTCACGAATTTCATTCATTGATTCCAAGAAAGTTGCAATAGGAGAGAAGATGACACGATAACTGGATTAAGTAATCAGAATTAGAATTAAATAGATCAAACTGTTGAGAACTGGGAGTGGGATTAGATTAGGCTGTTTTGCTTTGCTTTATATGGGGCTTTGATAGGAAACAATTGTTATAGGCTGTACAGTGTACAATGCAAATTCCTTTGCGTTTCCATAACTTGTGGCAAATATGATGGCAAAAACATTTTGAGTACTGGTAGCTAAGCATTGTGTAAATGACAGGAAATAGGTTGCAGTTTCTGAATATAATCCATGGCTACACTTTTGTTTTGTAGATTTTCGAGCATAATATAGAGTATTTATATCCAAGAATAGTGTCAATGAAAGGAATTAAGAGGATCGTATTTGATGCACTGTCATGATATAAATCCAAACACTGATAGTGAATTATATAATGCCATCTCTTAAAGAGTATTTGTATTTATTTTAAACTCTATTGATGAAGTGTCTTCATGAGATTTGTTATCCCTTTATAGATTTGTACACCGACACTAGGAAATATTAACCCTTCATAGACACCTGCAATTCGACTTGAATACTACTTTGTTGGTAATTCTTCCTCATTTACGCTTGTGAGTTTTTTTTTCTAGGAATGCTGCATTTCCTCTCATTCATCAGCACCGCAAGGAGATCAAGAATACCAGTATGATGACCTGAGAAGAGGAGCATTAACATGGGATGAGGCACTAGAAAAAGGCATGTTAGAGTTCCAGCAGCGCACGTACAGCCTTTTCACTTGCAATTGCCATTCATTTGTAGCAAACAACCTGAACAGGTTAGGCTTTCGTTCGGGTGGGTGGAATGTAGTAAATATTGCAGTTCTCATCTTCCTCAAAGGTCGATGGTTGAGCAAAGCAGCAGCTGTGCGATCCTACTTGCCATTTGTTGTAGTATCCGGTCTAGGATTTGCATTTGGTGGCACTACATACTTGTCTTTCTTGGCCCTCTTTGCATTCCTTCTTGTTGGTTGGTTCCTTCTTGGTACTTACTGTTTCAAGAATTTAATCTATTCGTAGCTTCTACCAAAAATCAATACCAAAGAATGAATGGAAATGTTTATTTGTGTATGTGCTAAGTTAATAGAGTTGATAAAAGATCACATATTTCCTTTATGCTATAAAGTCTAGTTTTAATTTTCCATACCGACAATCTCTGTGAACGATTTGTGAATCCCAAGTAAATTTGGTTTCTGCATTGGAATGTTGCAGTATTCTCTCGCATCTCTTCCTTTATAAAGTAAATTATCAAGTCCAGAGTTACCTGCAGAAACTTGCGGTTGTTTGTCAAGAACTTTGTCCTGAACAAAATTAAGATCCAATTCTACATGTTTGACTTTGGCATGGAGACCAGTTTGATAGCCAAGAGAACAATGCTTGTGTTGTCATACCAAATCTTGGGAACTTTGCTGAGAACATGTTGAACATTGATTCGACATCTAGAACCTTCCAAGATTAGCATGAGATGCGAGAAATTGGAATTGATTGTTGATTTATCGAATATGGTTGAGGGGAGGAGTGTTTGTGTGGTGAACATACGAAGGGAGTTGAGTGGAGGGATTATAGTAAGTTTTGGGAAATAGGGTTGGTAAGGGTCGTGAATTCGTTTATCTCTATCAACCAACACGGATGGGAAACAGGGTTGAAAAGGGTAATTTAAGTTTGGCTCAATGAACTATTTCATGATATTTCTTAGTCATCGACAATACACACCTGCAAACACACACGTGCAAACGTAATTGTTTGAATTCAGTACCTCTAGGGACAACAACATTCCCTTTAACCATTCAAGTAACTCAATGAGTTTTTTTTTTAATATTATTAAAAATTTACAAATAAATACAACTAACTTTAATAAAAAGAATAATGACATGACAATTAAGGGTGTAAATAAACAGAGTATTTGGTGAATTGTTCTTGAATCACTCATATAATGTTCGTTTATGTTTGTTTGTTAAGAATAAACTAATATGAACAAAAAAAATTATGTTCATTTAATAAACAAACAAACACGAACGGAGGTGTGTACAGTTTGTTTATGTTCACATACAAGCTCATTTATTGACTCGTTCATTTATGTTGATGAACAAACTTGTTTACCAGTTCTCCTTTTCTTTCTTTCTTTTTTATATTTTAAATATTGATAAATGTAAAGACTAAATTGAACACGTGATAAAATGAATTTTTAAGGAGTTTAAGCACTAATGGCATAATTTTACCATTTTCTTTAGCTTGCGGATGAAATGGTAAAACTAAAAATTGAACATATAAACGAACGATAAAATGAACACTAAACGAACGCTAAAATAAACACTGAATGAACGCTAAACGAACATTAAATAAACATATTCGTAAATGCTAAATGAACATGTTCATGAATATATAAATGAAAATGTTTGTGAATATTAAATGAACATATTCACGAACAATATATAAAAGAATACAAACATCTTAAAAAACAAATAACATGATATTAAAATTTTAAATGAGAACAAATCGAACATAAACATCTTAAAAAATAAACAAACGAATGCGAACATAATCTTATTCGTTCAAATTCGGTTTATTTACACTCGTAATGACAATTATAATAAATAGTAATATTGGGTTAAATTGAATAAAATTGTCATGAAATGTATTCTAATTGGCCAAGGAAACAAAACGTGCTTTGCGCTCGAGATGTTCTTTTCGTTACGTTACATGAGAATATTATCGGCACGATACACTCTTCATATAATAATGGCAAAATCGTAATTCTAGCAGAATCTAGGTCTAGGGCCCATTTGCCACACCCTTACTCTGCATATTTATTCTGCACAATAGAGCCGCATAGAATAAATCAGTTTATGTTTCTAGTAAAAAATAAAATCTCTGTTTTTGAAGATCTAGGCGACAATGGCAGCAGAAAGACAAGTGATCGGTTGCCACACTACTGATTCATGGAAGGCGCAACTCCAAAAGGGAAATGAATCCAAACAGCTGGTATTTTGTTTTGTTTTAATTTTTCAGATAATGGATCTGATCTGTTTTCATTTGCTTCAAATAATATTATATATTCTGCGACTTGTTTGTTTTATATGTATAGATTCAAAAATTTTCCAGCTAATACAATATCAGCCTATCAATTTTACATATTAAAACTAGGATCGTGTAGATTAGGTGATTGATTTATTGTATTTGATGACATATCGTATATTGTTTTGTTAAATAGCAAAAAACTAAACCATCAATTATAGGAGCTTAGGGTTTTTTTTTGCATCAGATTAAGATTTGATGTGTTTATTTCTATGGAAATTTTGTTATAGCCCAATTAAGTTCTGTAGTATGTTTTAATCCCTGGAAACAAATAGGGGTCTTAATGAGCGTTTCCATAAACCGTTTGTGAACATTTGTTTATTAAGTTTAGTAAATGAGTATTAACAAAAAATTTATGTTCAAACTGTTAAGCCTAAGGAGCTTAAGGACTAGTGGAGTAATTTCACCATTTTCTGAACATATAAACAACATGTCGATGAACATGAACATTTTAAGAAATAAACAAACGAGCATGAACACATTAAAAAAATAAACAAACAAACTCAACCTTATTTGTTCAATTCCATTTCATTTACACCCCTAGAAAAAAAAGTGCAGAAGAAAGACAGTAAACTATAGTAACAGACTGATGCTATACGCGTGACATTAATAAATTTTAAGGTTGGCAGATGGTGTTGGTGAATTGGTGATGACTTATCAAATACAGATGTTAATGGTGATGTTGATATTTGCTTCTTTTTCTCCATTAATTTGAAACCATTCAGTACCTTTTGCTTCTTCATAAATGGTAAATGCATTACTTCTTATATGTTAAATGCAGATGGTGGTTGATTTCACTGCCTCATGGTGTGGACCCTGCCGTTTTATTTCACCCTTTCTGGCTGAACTGGCCAAGAAGTATCCTAATGTCATGTTTCTCAAGGTGGACGTGGATGAATTGAAGGTAACACCAATGTCGAGTTCCAATGACAATTCTCGGTTATCAGTCTGGCAATGATCGAGAAGTGAAAATGTCTATCGAACTGATTGTTTTTGTTTTGTTTTCAGGAAGTTGCTGCTGAATGGGGTGTGGAGGCTATGCCAACTTTCTTGTTCCTCAAGGGAGGAGAGAAAGTTGGCACAGTGGTTGGTGCAAAGAAAGAAGAGCTTGAGCAGACTGTGATAAAACATATGCCTACTGCTACTGCTTCTGCTTGATGGAGATGATTATTAGTACTATCTTATCATGTTTTGAGGAACTTATTATCACAGACAAGCATCTTTGATGTGCTGGTATTAATAAACACATCTCTATGTTATAAGTTTGTTTCTATATCATTCGAGGTATTTTTATGTCCTTAACTAGTGTGATTCATAGTCAAAGCTTGTTTTCATGGTTGATATGATTTTGGGTATGTCACTTGAAACTTTAGCTTTTATTTGATACTTGTGGGGTTTGTAAGAAGGTAAATTATCTCGTCAGATTATGTCATCTGATGGAAAATAAATGGTACCACAATTACCTTTGATGAATTATAGCTTAGAAATTACAAAGGACAAAAGAGCATTTTGATTCAGGAACTGCACATAAAACAATGGCCAAACCGCTCCCAACATGATCCTAACAGGGGTTCAATTTCCCCCTACTGATACAAACAGATATCACACCAAATACAACAAAGTGTATGTTTCCCCGGTGCCAGTATATCAGGTTAAGAGCCCGGCGGCACACACCAGAAAATTCACCCGTTGAACCTAAATTTAAGGGCCCCAAGAACTTAGAAACTCACCTATCTTGTAATCACTAATTTACAGTGACCTTTTTAAAATGAAAATGATTTATTGCCTATAACACTGAACACTGAACACTGAACAATTTTTGCCAGAGCACTCCATTTGGAAATGCTGTGGCACCTAAACCTAAACTAAACGCCTATTCTTTGCTCTCTTTTTTTCTTTTTTCTTTGCTCCTTTCTTCAAATACTGATAGTGTATAGTTAAATTACTAGATGCAAACCTTCTGGAGTTGTTCTGTGAGTTTGTTTTTAATCTTATTAGCCTCCCCAGTTTGGCTGTGCTGTTGTAGAAGAGATCGGAGCACAAACAGCTTCGACGGACAATTGTTTCAACACATTCGGGCATGGATCTTGCCCGAAGTTACTGTTGGCAATGGTGACAATACATCTTTGCTTCCCTACACACTTCTGTTAAACGTCAAACAGGAGAACACAGTGAAAAATGCATAGATGCGAGTTTTAGTTTATCTCAGGCAAAGAAAGTTATAATACCTTCTCTAGGATGGCATATGAAGCAGGAGCATGGCAAGGGCCTTGTTGATAACTTCCACAAGTTCCTAAAGGAGTTCCAAAACTTGCAAATTTAATGGAAGAGATAGATTGTCCGGGACCACAGCGCAAGTGAATCTTCGGTCTGCGGAACTCTTGTACCTTTCCATAGCTTTCAATCTGCCAGTTCTTAATATTCGGGTGATATTCAGAGACATCGGCACAAACGCTGGACAGGGATCTTTCTACAAGTGAGATTCTAGTAGGATCTCCTCCTAGCTCCTCAAAAAGAACCAACAAATTCTGTGTAGGTTTCAACCAAGACCGAGGAACATGGTACCTAAGACAGGGAAAATAAATTATCGATCAAACGATGAAAATATGTTTAAATTCAGGGCATATTCTGCTCCGATTTATAACACACGCTTGAAAGGTTTTTGCATATCTTCGGTCCAAAAAATGGTTACCATCTTTGGGTTGGTTTCCCACAACCAAGCTGGCACTTTGGTGGTCGAAACGTTCCGGCATAATTACAGCCATTGCAGTCACCATGAGCATATGCAGTCCAATATCTACCAATACTCTGTCCATTAATCCAGATTTGACCTTTTCCCATACTCTCCATGTCCAATGCCAATGGCTCATCACCCTCAGGTGCATTAAAATAAGCCTGCAGCATTGAAAGGGAACCGTATTGAACTTTTAAGAATCCCCACCTTATCCTGCAACTACTTGTACTATTCATTTTTTCTTACCTTATGCCATCTTAAGGGCTGTAGTTTTTGTGCAGCCAATGATCCTTCCATCCACTCAACCGAGGAAAAACCGTTCTGTGCGACTAGATCCATGGCCTCTCCTTTAAGGCCAACCTGTTGAAAGAGGATTCATGAGGAAAACATATTTGAATCACAATAAAGACAATGAAGAGGTTCATTTCACTACCTGGTAAGTCCATTTTTGCCGTGATAGGTCCCATTTTCCTTGGTCAAGTCCATTAAGTGCTACTGGACCTAGGATACCTGTATTCCATGTCTCAAAGTGTCCTCCTATATTCTATAATCACCAAAAAAACATAAAAAAATTGTCATTTCACATCTCAAAACACAATGACCATGCCATTGTTTTTAAACTTTTGATGATTTGAAGAACTAACTGGTAATCCAACGGCAACACTCAGCAGCGCAATTCTGTTTGTTCCGGCATGCAGATTGACCTTCCCTGTGTATGTGAATCTCCGATTTTGCCTTGTTCCAAAAGCAGAACCTGTTAAACACCATGTTAAGACTTCTATTTCTAAAAACAAAAAAAGGAGAGAAAAAGTACAATCCAGGGCAACATAACTATGTACCTGAAAGTTGTCCATTGATAAAGACGTGAACGGCATGGCCTGTTGATTGAGCTATGAGAGTAGGGAATTCCCCTCCTCGAAGGAAGGATTCGGATGAACCAATGTCCACACTGTATCATATAACATGTATTTGTGAGACATTCCCAAATTGACAAAAAAATTTGGAAACAAAGAATTGCAGAAGAAACAAGCTATAATAAATTGAGAGGACAAAGCAGAAATATTCTTCAAATCTAACCCCGGGTTCATCGTCTCACCTAGTAATGTACCACAGATAATCGCTTGCGTCCCTTGTGACATTTATTTGCTCTAATAGCCCATCAGCAGTAATTGCAGACCTGTCATCTAGTGAAGAAGGATCTTCATTATAACTTTCCCATGCGAATATCTCGGTGTTTGTTGGTAGCATCTGCATTTGTGATGTCTGAACTCCAACCTGAAGAAAACAGCATGAGTTACATAGAGATCCTTGAACCTTTTATTACTTTATAAAAAAAGTATGCTTCAGTTCCCATAGTCCTAAAACTGATCAAGCGAATTCAGTTATTTCACAAAATCAATACCTTTGCAGTATTAAATACTGCATTCCTGCAATCGGGAAGGATGCTGATGGACCAAGGAGGCATGTTATAATGCATGTTGTTAAATAGCACTCTCGCGGCAGATTTGGTATTGTAGTTTGATAGGAAAGCTGCACAATCTCCGGATTCCGTTGTGTACATATAAGCCTGGCAAATATCAAATAATGACTAGAATTAGTGAACAATTAAGGATCTCATATCTGCTGGAAATATGGACTTTGAGAATATAAGCAGAAACCTGTTGGGAGTCTCCTAGTGAAGTAACAATAGGATTTGCCGAAACTAAAGCTCTCTCACACATCTTAATAGCCCTGTGGAGCTCCTTTAGATGACCATATTTCGGTTGTCTAATCAAACCTGTCATTTTTAGCTTGAATTAGAGGTAAGACAATGGGGAGGAACATGTAAAGGGATAGCAGATACGATCTTCCCATTTTTGTAACCCAAAATCAAAGGACATAAGCTTATAAGTTAACATGAGAAGACATAAGTGAACAAGTATACGAGTTCATATTGTTTTCGGTTTTAAACGCTATTGATGCGAGGCAAAGATTGTAAGTTGTGAACAATCCTTCTATATTTTAAAGCAACAAACAACTTGGAAGTAATAAAAAAAAAGCCTTTTCTCACCATATTCATCTATTGGAGCATCATAATCATAACTGGTAGTGATGAAAGGACCTCCAGCTGTACGTCCGAAATTGGTCCCTCCATGGTACTGTTTCGAAATGTAAATAAGAATCAGGTTTATGTTGTAAAAACTGTATACCCTTTGAAAAAAAGTGAAGATAATGAGAAAAAAGAGGAATTTACCATGTAATAGTTAACAAAAGATCCTCCTTTTTGAATGAATCGAGCAACAGCAAATGCCAAATCTTTGGCTGGACGATGGTGAAGTGGACCACCAAACTCAGAGAACCTTTTGCATAAACAAAGGCATAAAATGGTTGGATTCACATCTCAGTAAGATTCTTCGAAATTAAGGTCACAAAGAGGGAAGAACTTACCATCCACTCCAAGCCTCAGTCCATATTGTTGGCTTGTAGGGTTTGTTGGGTTGGAATGAATCACAGTAGAAACCATTGCATGTGTTTATCTATCAAAGTACACATAAAACTCCCTTAGCATCCATCCACATTATGCAAACTAACATTGAGATTTATGACACAGAAAAGAGAGAACATATATGATTCGAAAACAAGAAACTGGATTTTGTACACAGTAAGTAATTCCTTAGAACACTAAGATCATAGAGCAAGAGACTTGACATGCTAAATGTTGATTGAATTACTTACCACTGGATCTGGGGCATCTTGTTCCTTGCACATCACCCAAGGGACACCGGTTCCGGTCTCTATGGCCATTTTTGCTGCCCAAGAAACATAATTGTAGCCAACTGCCCCTTGTAATTTACTCTGTGCCCCATACTCATTCTCAATCTGCATTCAAACAAATTAAAAAGAGTAAACTAGAGGCTCATATGACCATTGTAAACTAACCTCGGACGTGAAATCTGTAGTTGCATAAATCGACATCTTAATGGAAACAAGGAAAACATTTACCTGAGAGAGAATAATGGGACCACCCTGGGACTCAAACAGGCTATGACTCTTCATCAGTCCCACAATCTTCTCTGTGAACCCTTGCATAGCTCTCTGCAATTATGTGTAATCCTTCTTTATTTTATTTCTAGTAACAAATGGTTAAAATATATCCTGAACTAATACTGATTAAATTTACCTACCAGTAATTTTAGTCATGCAGTAAAATCAAAGGAAGAAGTCAAGAAGGGAATATACCTTGAAAGGTTCATTGTCTGTTCTGAAGCTGATGCCTGGTACATATTTTAACCATACAGGAAACCCTCTGGACATGGTAAGAAAATGTTAGACCAATTAGGTCAAACAACATAGAAGAGAAATAAGAAATGAAGCATAGCTAGAGACTAAGATCTAACCCAAAATTCCACTCTGCACAAACATAAGGCCCAATGCGAAGATGAGCATAGAGACCTGCTCTCTGTATTGTCTTTATGAATCTCACAAGGTCATATCTTCCTTCAAAATTATACTGAAAAAACAATAAAATATTTAACAAGTTGAATTCCAAGAAAAGGAAAGCAGCTTAGAAAGCAAAAATATTAATTTA